TTTAAAATCTATCATGAGCAGTTTTCTGTGCTTTTAATTGATATATAATATTCTATAATTGTGCTGCTGCTATTGAACATTTACTTTGTTCTCACTTTTTAGTTGAAATGTAGTTTTTTTGCTGTCATTTCCAATTTGTTTTTGAGTGTGTCTCCCTGCAATTGGAATAACTGGTTTAGAATGACTGTCGAGGACTGTTATTTGCTTGTTTTAGGATTTGGTGCTTTATCCAATTCAGAAAGGAATTATATAAAGTTTATGACTGGGTGTGGCATGAACATGTGTGTAGGGAGATCATGTGATGGTGGTATGTGGGATGAATTGCAGGGGAGAGTACCTTGAAGCAATAACATCAGAAATAATGGTTTGATCTAGTTAAATTAAAATAGAGAATACTAAAGTCTTGATAGAGAAAAATTGTGAAGAAACAATTGATGATTTATGATCAAAAGAGTAAGATTACTAAATGGGAAGATGATAGAATTGATAGAATTAGGAAATTCTGCGGGGGAATCATTAGGCATGATCATGACCGAGTGTTGGACATGTTTGAAGGTGTTGTCAGTCCTGACAAGAAAAAATGTCCTGGAAAGGCCATGGGTGGAGATAAATATTTTAGAGTCATGCACAAAGAGGTTATGCTTGAAGGCCCAGGAAGTGAATTTTACCTTTGAAATAATCATGAAGATGAATAAAAATATATGATTTTTTGGGGGGATATTTTTATGATGGGATGAGATGAGAAACAAAAATCAACAGTAATAAGAAGAAGGAAGTGATCAGAAATGCTTTAGAAGAACTAGCAGCCAAGTTACTAGAGAAATTAAGAAAGAGATAATAAATGGTACATTTACGGATAAGGTTCGTGAAAATAATTGTTTGAACAAAACGTTTCCTACAATAGATAAAGTGGGATTTATTTACAGACATGTATTTGTGTGCCACTTGAAAATTTATTACAAAGTATTTTAGAATAATGAAAAGAGACAGTGTTTTGTAATGAGCACTCATTTGCCAAACGTGCCCATTGCAGCTGAGCTCCTCTGTGTATTTCTCCTTCCCTGGCCATCATTTATTATGTTTGTGTGTTGGTTTATTTCCTAGCTTTGTGTATTGGAAGGGCTTAGACCCTGTAATACTCAAATAGTGGTGATCACAGTTTGCACCTGGGCCTTGCTTTACAAACACCACTACCTACTGTAAAACAGGGCTGATTCCAGGTCTGAAGCAGGAGCGATAATTGGTGAGCCTGGAATGTCGGTTGTGCTAGGAACGTGGGAGAGCCCAAGCACTAAGAGGAGTCCCATCAGAAGGATAGAGTAGCCAGCTTTAGAGTTTCCACTGGCCAATTCTGGGACAGTTTGAGAATCAAAAGGCATAATTATGGAAGTTGATTATAAACTATGGCATAAAAATGAAAAAAATAAACCTTAACCTTAAAAATGAAGTAAAAATGTATTTTAAAGTTTATTCAGTTTGGGGTTCTTTATCACTACTTTGTAAAGTAGTTGTTAACCCTTTCTGCCTACTAGGATTTTTATTTATTTATTTTTGGAATCTATTCCATCACATGTCAGTGTTATTCTCTCTACTGCAGCCTTCACCACCCATGTTCCGCTGCTGCTCAGTGTTAGCACAGTATTTGTGAGAGTATCATGGCAGAACTGCATGTTGAATAAAATGTTTAGATCATAGCTTTAACTACGTTATTATTTACATAGCTGTCAAATGTTTATTCAAATTATTTGTGACTATTTCCTGGGCCGAATGAATGCTCTTATAACCAAATATCTGATCATATCAACTGCAGGTAGAGTTTGTAATCTAAACAGCTGTTATCACATAGTTTCTTACATATTTGTCCGTTCCCACAAATACATTCTCTCATAGTTCTATGAGTCAGGAGTTTGACACCAGTCCCACCAGGCGGAGATGAAGATGTTGGCAGGCCTGTATTCCTTTCTTGAGGTTTTAGGGGAGAATCTCTCTCCTGGTTCTTTCCAGCCTCTCAAGACCACCCACAGTTTTTGGCTCATGGCCCTGTCTATTGTCTTGTTGGCCATACCAGCCTCTCTCTGCTTTTATCAACATCTCTTTGTCTCATTCCTTCTCTCTTCCTCTCCACTTCCACTTCCTGAAGGAGCCATGTGATCACATTGAGTCTACCCAGAAAATCCAGGCCGACCTTTCTAAATTAAAGTCCAGTGATTAACAACCTTTACTCAGTTTGCAGCCCTCCTTACCCACAAGTCACATTGCTTAACCACCCGAATGTAGAATTTCAACCCCCTGCTGACATTTTAATATCCTTTTTCTCTACTCGATTTTTTTCTTGTACCATTTATTACTGTTTTTACTATGCTTTCTTTACTTTTTTTCTTGTTGTCTATCTCCTTTACTAGTTTTTACACTTTCCGAGAGCAAGAACTTTTACTTGTTTTGTTCATCTATGTGCTACAGCTGCCTAGAACTGTTCCTTGCATAGTAGTAGATCCTTAATAAATACGTGAGTTAAATGCATGCATGAATGACTAGCAGTATCCATAAAGGAAGAGTCACGGGCTTAGTGCCACTTCATGCTGTTGACCAGCAACAGGTTGTAGAATGAAAGCTCCCGGAAGGCATGCCTTTATCAGTCCGATTTTCTATCGTAGTGCAGAACCCATCTGCAGCGAGCACATAGTAAGTGATCAGTAAATGAGTTGAGACGTGGATTAAGAGTATAAAGGAATGAGTATTTATTGGGAGCAAGGCATTTCAGTTGAATAGCTTTTCAGATTGGAGATTACTTTTATTTTTGGTGGTATCTAGATTATAATTTTTTAAAGAAAATTATGTTAAAAATGTTGAAATAGTAATGTTACAATGGCAGTTGATATTTAATAATCACATGTTGCTGGCAATATTATTTCCATATTTGTTGCTAATTTTGTCAGGCAGTTATGCTTGGCTTTTATGTTTTAACTGATGATGATATTAAGACTTTTATATTACTTGCACTTTAAGCCAAATTTTAAAAATTGGAACTTCTTTTAAGTCAAATTTTGGGTGAATATATGTTTTGTATCTGTACATAATTGATCTGTGTTTTAGTATTATAAACTTTTCCCCATTTTTCTCATAATATATAAAAATTATTATTCTTCCAAATATTCAGCATTAGAAACATGCAGCAAATGTTAGAATGTTATATTAAGCAAAAGCTTTCCCTCCTTATTTACTCTAGTTCGTTCCCTTTGCAATGTAATGTTTTTGCTTCAATTCTTAAAACTTAAACAGTTTAATTAATAAAAATTTTTTCTATTAAAAACTGCACTCTGGTTTCTAAGTTCATATCTCTTAAATTATACTTGGTCATGTAAATAAGCTGTGCTTTGCAACTTTGGGTTTTTAACCTTTGCTCTTTGCTATTAGCTTTATGTTTTTTTAATTATAGGGAAATGGAGGACAGTGGGGAAGTTATGACTCAAATGGACTGTTGTTATTACTGTATTCTTTTTTTTAGGAAATGAAAAATGTTATTTATTTTGTTCAAATCAAGCAGAAACAAATATAGAATATCTTGTAGTTATTTTTTGCTCAGCATTTAATATTATCACAGTTTGATCCTTTATATGTGATAATTACCTTTCTGTTTTAATGATTGATGGTGTGACCAGTTATTTATAGTTGCAAAGAATGTATTGTCCATAGTTGTCATTACCTAATATTAAAAAAAAAGTTATTTTCAGTATATAAATGCATTATTTGAATAATGAATTCATAGTCATTTTGACCCTACAACTGAGGTTCATTAATATTATATGAAAAACAAAAATGGACAAGAAAAGAAAATCATTCACATTTTTAGAAATTGTTTTGTTCTTGGCTATTGTCATGGGTCTCTTCTGTGAGGCTATAGTACTTTACATTCTTACGTTGCCCATTTGTGCAAACATGTCCAGATGAATTCACTGTTTAATGTTAAGAATCTTATAACATGCCAATTTGATTTGTAGCCCTTCATATCATGGAATGCTAATTAAAATCATATTTTTGCATATGTCATGCCTTTCATGTACATATGCAAATAGATTCTGTTGCCTTTCAGCTATTAGTAATTAACTTTATGAAGGACAGCTGTAATACATAATTAACAAAAATGTTTGCAAGCCCTTTTACATTGAAAGTTACAACAGTAAATTTTTTTTTTCACTTACCAAGAGAGCCATTTTAGTCCAATGCTTCTGAATGAGATCTAAATTGTTTTAAATAATCACATGACATAATTAAATTGATGCTGTACTGTGTTCAGTGGAAGAGTGGTGCTCATGCACTGGCTGCTGATTCCTGTCCATTTCATATTTATGTCAACAAAATTGAATTAAGTAAGCTGATTTGTGTATAAAATAAGATAGTATGTCAGGTAATACTTTTTGTTTGTTTTAGTTGTTGATATCTTGGCACTTCAGTACAAATTTTTTTGTGTGCTGCACATACTATAAACATTTATATCGTTCTTCAAAACCCTCGCTTCAAATTATTACCATGTTTTTAAGGAAGCTTCATGAAAGCTATTCATTTTCTCTTTTATGGTCCTTTAAATATTTAATAAAATGACATTTTCTCAAATTCATTTCATGATTGAAGTGTGAGATCAGCTAAGGGCAGTGAATATTATATGGCAGTATAGCTTTATCTGTCTCACTAACTGGCTGTGAAGACAATGACTGAAGAACCACAATTATTGTTGTGATCTTTTGGTCACTGTTAGTATACCCTTGTAAGAAAATGAGCCACCCAATGTAGATACAGTTATTTCTTCTGCTTTTGAAGTATCACAGTATATTTAATCTGTATGTAATCTTTCTGTGTAGCAAGAGTGCCATTATAATATGCATTTTCTGTTCTATCTCTGTATTTCCTGTCATATACATATTTATTATTCTTAAATACTTTTTGTACAATTTCTAGCAGAGAGTCAAGTTTTAGTTCTATAATTACTTTTATTTATTTTTTAGGGTTGCTTTTGTAATGAAGAAGCACTTAAATACTCATCTACTAGGCAAACATGGAGTTGGGACCCCAAAAGAAAGGTAATTTTTTTTATTTAAAAAATATAATTACATTTTCATTTTAGCCATTGTTTAATGACATGACTTCTAGAATTTTTATCATGTCAGTTCATCACGTTTTATATTTGTGGTACTCTGTTGTTGAATATCATATTTTATGCCATCCTTCCACAAAAATATATTATCACATTTTAATTAAAAAATTCTGGTCTAGAAATATTTGAAAGGATTTGGGGGGCTTTAAATTTGTAAAACAATCTTGAAATAGTAGAAGACTTAAATTGGAAGGAATTAACTTCTGTAAATGCATTAGAATGTGCTAAAACAAATACCTAAAACTAAATTTTTTTTGTTTTTTCCTCCATTTTTACTATGAGGTTTTAAAATAATATTTTTGATTTTTTACTGTAGACTTAAACGTTGCTGATATTAAAAAAGAAGTACATCTTGTGTCATCCCCCAAATAATACTACAGTTGCCATGTCATGAAAAATAACACTACAATTATTATGTCGTCAACTGCCAGGTTTTCTTTTTTCTTGCTACTGTATCATAATTAGCGTCATCACATAGACTTAATTATATTAGGTGTACTGAAATATAGCAATGTCAGTTCCCAGGTGAGCATGGCCACTTCTGAAATTTTAAATCTTTAAAATGTGCAGCTCACTCAGAACTAGTGCAAGCACTGTCACCTTCATTAAAGACAGGGTAGATTTTCAGCTTCTCTCAAAATCCTCCAGGATAGTATCCAACATCTACAGACATTCTCAGAAACTTTAGCTTTTTAATGGCATTTTAAAATGTCAATAATGATGATGCAATTTGTTCTGCTACTCTTAAGCCTGGGGCCTCTTCAGCCAAATTTGTAAATGTTTAATAGTCTTTTTAAAAAATTTTAAATGATCTTACCAGTATTTTCTGTGTATGAGGAATTTAACTTGACTTTTCTACTGGAGGCATATTGTTTTCTTTAGCTTTGTAATCTGGACATAGACTACTACTGGGTCAAAATATTGGGATGTTGGGTACTTTTGGTTTCCCATACTTTTTTTGGACATTGTATTTAATAATTGCAGTCAAAATACATGATTTGACTATGCAATAGATACATTATTCTTGAAATTTAAAGACATTCTATACTTTTTTAAAGAATAATTTGGCACTTGTCAAAGTTATGTTTCATACATGTTAAGTGGAAACAAAACATGTTTTTAATTATATTCCTGTTGCTTTCACAAGCATTATCTCAATCATTCCATGATCTTATTAGCAGTGCATTATTCAAGTTTTATAGATCTAAGGACTGAGGGCCATGAAGATACAATAATGACTTATTCAATATCTCATAAATAATAAATGATGGAACTGTTATTTTTCTGACTCTAATTTCTAAATAAATTTGAACAAAATAATCTAGATCTGATAAACAGTAAAAGGAAAACATTTCCCAACTATTCCTTTAAATAGATTTCATTTTGAAATCAAATAATTTTGCTTTTTATCTAGGAATTTGAAAAATTTGAAGAAATGTTCTTATTGTTTCTCGTATCAGTGAAAATTTCATTTTTCTCTATATCATCTATCTATTAAACTTCTTAAAAATAGATATCATCTATATGTTATGACTTTGAAGGTCACCGGTTTCTTGTTTGGTTTTTCATTTCTTTGCATTCCTTTTCTGTGCATTCCAAGACACTTTCCTTTTCTTTCACTCATTTTCAGTCCTAAACACATAAAGGGAGACTCAAAAAGAGGCAAGAGAAAGACTGAAGTCTTTCATCCCTCTGTGATATGGTAAACTTTTCTCAGACATTGGCACTATTTTTGTCCTAAAATCAGGAAATGAATCTCAAATGGAAAAGTGCAACCATCTCATGGATTATTACCTTTTAAGTATTCCGAGTTGTAATGTTTATCTAAACTAAGCATCTTTGATTGAGTTGTTTTTCCTATTACAGATTCTTTGTTTCAGGGGACTTCTTATTTGGCACTCTCTCTTATCACAGAAATACTAAATTAGAATGCTAAGACTTGTGTATGGCCATAGCATCCTGATCTTGGAAGCTAAGCAGGGTCAGGTCTGGTTAGTACTTGGATGGGAGAATGTCAAGATTTCAACATCAGCATAATTTTCAATAGACACTCATAGGTGGAGAAGACTAAGATTTAAGTGTCAAAAAGTAGCATAACAGATGTCAAAAGGCTCTTTTCTTCCATTTCACCCTCCTGCTTGGTCTTAGTGTAAGCAAAGAAATCCTTTATCAGCATGCTCGCCCATCAGTCTGGGCATAACTGTTCTCTAAATTAAGTTAAATATTTTTCTTACCTACTTAAAACATTAATGCCTTGGCTATGCTTTTGCAAGCTTGCTATATTTTAATTTCTCCAGGATATTATAATCAGTTTTTTTTAATGTTTTGAATTTGATTCTCTCCTCTAATGCATTGCATATTATAGCAAATAGTAATAGAAGTTAGCTAAATAGGCTGTGACAATTAAATTAATAATGCATTTTATTTGCAAGTATTTAGGCCTTGTGCTTTGACTGATATATGCAAAAATGATAATTTATTAAAAATAAATTCATATACTTGTACTATAAAGTTTGATGAACCAATAAATTTTGTCAGCATGACTATCATTAGAAACAGAAAACTTCAAATATTTTATTTGAGACTCCATGAACACCTGAGTGATGGCTTGTGTAAGAACATAATTTTTTTATCTCTAAATTTGCATTAAATTATTTTAAGATAGTATACTACAGTATTTCTGAAGTCTTACACACTTAAATACAAACAACTAAATATACCACATTCAATTCACATTCTAAAATAATAAACTCCAATTAATTTGCAAGTTCATTCTAAAGTATTCCCTGTTTTAAATGAGTAATTCTCTTTGTATTATAAGTAAGCCAAAGTATCTTTATGACTCTTTGAATTTGCTAATAGTAATCTAGCAAACGAGCTTATCCACAATTATCGCAATTGGAGCAGCCATGCTAAGTATATCTTCTGTGAAAGCCAGGTGCATATTACAATGGAAGTGGATGGCATTTGTAGTTCAGTGCCTGGAAATCAGCTGGGCTTTGAATGACTGTGTAAATAGGAGGAGGAGGAAATGATTCGCTTAGAATTTCTCCTCTGATACATTGTTTTTGTGGTGTCGGGGATACCATTAGGACATATGTGCACCGGTAGCATCTCCCGAAGGCTGATACACTCAGAAAACCACTTTACCAATAAAAGATTTTAAATTAGATGAGTGCATCATAAAGTATAAGTGCTAAATAATCATAACTAAGGAAACGTACCTGTGTTTTTACTAAGAATATCCAGATCAAAACCTTACTATTTTTTCAATGCAGCCATTTTTGTGAAGATTCCTACTCTCAGATAGTACATTACTGTTAGCTGTTGGGTGTGTTCAGGCCCCTGGGATGGGCTCAGGGCTGGTCAGCATTTTTGTCTAGGCTGAATGGGATTTCTCCCAGGCCCCCTTAAGATTACTGAGCTCTGGAATTTGTGTTGGCCTCTCCCCTTTTATCAGACACTGGGGACTTGGGGTTAACTGTCTTTCTTTTAATAGTACCTCTGATCGTATTGATAAGTAAAATCTTTCCCCCACCTAGTCTAATTGTGGGAGAGAAATCCTGGCAGCTCTGAAACTTGTTCTAATTTGTTTTAAGCCACTATTACAGGACATGGCAGTGTGTAAGTCTTTTTGAGACTGTCTTGTCTCCTTCCCTTTCTCTCTCTTCTCAAAAACTTTTATATGTTAAAATTGCATAAAAGCATCATTGTTTTCTGTTTTTCAAGTTTAGATGTAAGCTTCACCCTTTTTCATGAAACGTGAAAATATCTAAAACAGAAACATTCTGGGAAAAGCATAAATACATATACATTTACATGCACAGTTGTTTCTGTAGTTGCACCAGGGTTACTTTGAGAAAAATAATATATTTTACGGAAATCCTGAATGACATATAGTATAATAGATTAAAATTTATCTTGTTAGTAGAGATTCTATTCATAGTATTTAACTCCTGTTAAGTCACAGTTGTTACTTTATTGTCCATTTGAAGAAATATTAATAACCTTCCTTTGTCTAAGTTGTTCTTGTTGCTTATATCTTATTTTTTATAGGATAAAAAGTTTTCCTCAGTATTTACTTCACAGTGAATTTCTGTAAGGTAAATGCTGCCTTTTATTTTGTCATTGAGATGCATTGTTTAATCTCATGGATGCGTTGTGATATCAGGTTGTCTTACATGCTCCGGGAGGGTCTCTCTGGAGTGCACTTTGTAAAACTTCTCAATCACTTGTGTGTTCAGGCTTCAGACTCTCCCTATCACCACCTGCAACTATTGTTACCCCCTCTCATTTCTTCCCTTCCATGCATCATTACCAATCTTTCTTCTTCTTGCTTTTTTCCCAAGTAGGACCAATTTAGGAAAAATAAAGTGTTTATGACCTCCTCTCCACTTTAAAAAATATTTATACAAGAAATACCATTGTTGGGCCAAAGTGGAGGGAAACCATGTCAGTTCTTTCCTTTTTGGGTTTCTTATTTTAATGAATGGGGAGGTTGCTATATTTTAATGACTTAATATTACTTTTCCATGAGCTGGAGACTTATATTTTTCCCCCATCTCTTTATCTGTAGACAGTTAAATATAAATAATATTCTGTAATCATACCATGTGGTTTTATTATATAGAGGTAGTATCTTATAGCGAGATAGCCCTGCTAGATAATCCCTTCTACATGGAAAGGTAGATAGGAGTCATACAAATTCATCTAAAGCCAAGTTTATTATTTCTAGAAAATTTGTTTCTATATTTTACTGGCTTAAACCAAGAATTTCTTAAGGCATATATGCAGATAAGTATATATTTTCCGCAAAAGTTACTTGCCAGGATCTGGGAAGCATTTCTAAATTACATTGGTAGTTTGCATTTTCTATGGTTGCTTTGTCACCAATGTGTTATGGTGATATGGAAAATACGGGTATTT